GCCCCACTTTTCATTTTTTTATTAGTTAAAAAAGTTTCAAAAATCCAATAGATTTCGTTCCACTTCACAATTGTGTCCCACTTGATGGTGATTCTTCACATAAAATAAAAAATGTATATCTTTATGTTTGAAGCCTGAAATGTGGCAAAAGGTTGAAAAGTTCAAGGGGGCCGAATACTTTCGCAAGGCACTGTATCTCATCTGCCAGTAGTTTTTGGCAAGTGCTATGAAAATGCTTCAGGTTTTGATGGCTGGGAACATTACATATACTGTAGAAGCTCTTGATGCCCCCCCCAGGCTTCTGAATATAAGCCTCTGAACCCTTCTGCTACATTCAGTAGTGTTTTGTAAGTTTTCAAGTAAGAGTTTTGCTGAAACACAAGCCCTGTGCAAAAACACTCTGTCTCTCATCCTGCTGTAAAGTGTGATTGTATTTCCAATTTTCAGCCTCTTAATAAGCAGACAATGCAACAGGCATTCTGCATTTCTCTTTAAGAAAATCTTGTTGCAGTAGAATTAAGAAATGCCATTCATTTTAACAAGTGGGAGTGTTGTTGTGGTTGAAAATATGTAGTCAAAATGCACTGATTGAGCCCTGTCTGTTTAAATCAAGTGAATTCCAGCCACTCAGGGTGAGAAGTGTGAGAGGCATGTCATTATGGACAGAAGAAAAGGAGCTTTTGTAAATACTGGGAGCTTCTTTGAACCTCCCGACCATCAAAGGATACTCAAAGGTTTTCTCTTGCTGAAGCCACAATTGGTATGAGGCAGTTCAACCCAGCTTGTTACAGCAGTTAAGTGAGTCTCAAATTTTGTCCAGCCACCTTGTTCCCCCTGTGCAGTGTGTTCCAGATAGCTTGGTGCACGTCTTAGTGTAAAAAAAGTGTCTTATTTGCTGTCGCATATTATTCCTTTTTGGTATACTATTGTGATGCCACGTCTTTGACCACAAATTGTGAAATAGTCCTGGTGATTTGAAGCATAACCTGTTCTGCAGCCTTTTGCACAATAACACAAGGTCCTCAACTTCTTCAACACTTCTTTATTTGTTGTTAAACACTATAGCAGAAATACCAAGAAAACTGTATAACCAAACAACGTATTCAATAACTATGCAACAGGCGAAATCTCTTAATAAATGTAATTATATATTTTTTTTTTTCACGTAGTTTGGAAACTACAATGCTCACACTGGGCACTGATATCTGGTGAAATTGCATTCCAAGCCTTATCATTTATGTGATGTCATTGTATGAAGGACTTCTGAGGTCATAGTGCTCTATCTACCAATCCTTTGAACTTAATACACTTCAATAAATCCTATGTTGTCCAGCTTTGAAATGATTTTTGAACTTGTTTTGACTAAAATCAAACAGGATCTGCCATTTCATACTTGGCTCATGACCTCATCAACTGCTCATCCACTTTACCCACAGGGTTTTTCAATGACAGTTTGGGGAAACACATGGCATTTGAGCTCATCAGCACACCTGCAAGGATCCTCTCATTTATTTGGGGTACTGGACTATAGGAACAATATTTTGGAATGAAAAAAATATATAGTGCACTATAGGGCTAATTTGTGTTTTTATGCTTTAAAATACAACATTTCGGCTGTGGAGCCGCTTTCGGGTGTGTGACATCTGAAGAGGGCTCCACAGCCAAAATGTTATGTTTCTTTTCTTCTCTTTTCACCATGGAATAAACCTTTCCTGGTTCCCTTATATGTGCAGGTATTCTGTTTGGATTATTGCATTGTCTTGATAAGGACATAGAAGATTGTGCATAACCATCTAAATCTTATTTATGTTTATCTTTCTGCAGGCTGAATCACCCATACAAACGTGTATTGTATGTGTTCCTACTACCTGTGCAAATCACTTTGGATTCATTAATGTTAAATTTTGTTTGCCAAATGTGTGCAATCTCCATTACTTTTTTTAGCTAAATTTACTAGTTTGCTAACTATAACAAAATCTAAATTGTTGATTTAGGTCAGGAAGAGGGCTGAGCCTTGGTCCAGTTTCATACACCACTACTAAGTCTACCCAGTCAGGGGTTATGCACCTTAAGATATGTTGTTTGGTGTTTGTTAGCCAGTTTTTGATTCATTTACAAACATTTCCTTAGATTACTTTGGCTTTTAATTTGACAGTCTACTTTTTCTGAAGGACCTTATCAATAGCTTTCTGGAAATGTAAATATATTGTATTTTTTGTGTTATCTGCTGTCTTTGTTCACTGTTATATAATTGTATGTATAAATTTATGTATAAGTATGTGACTTTTCCTTTCTGTGTTAGCTCTTTTAAAATGTGATTGTTTTTTTTAGCTCCATCATTTTCATAGCTTTACCAGTAAAGGAAATAAGGCTAATAGGTCTGTAGTTCAGTTTTGCCTCACTTTTTATTATTGACATTTGTAATTTTACATTCGCAGTTCTCCAATATGTGAATACAGGTCCTTAGTGAGTTTAAATATTGTTCCTATAGGTCTGTGAATAACATCCTCCAATCCCTATAGTACAGCTGAGAAAATACCATTAGGCTTTGGTGTTTTTATTAATTTAAAGCAGTCTTAACCTATGTAGAACCTCAGTCTCTGTTACAGTAAGATTACCCTTATTGAGTAAGATAACCCATTCTATACTCTTATTTTAGAATGTTGTTTTTTTTCCTCTAATGTCTAGAAGGGATTACACCCGAAGAAGGCTCCACAGCCAAAATGTAGTGTTTTCTTTCTTCTCTTGTAAAATATGTCAACATTGTGCTTTCTGCAGTAATTATATGTGAGCATTCAAATTCTGTTCCAGTCCTTGAATTTTAAGTAAACATCCTTCGTGCAGCAAATAGATTTCATTGTGGGTCCTGGATTAAAAATAGCTTTCAGATTCATTTTCCTGTGTTTTATCAATGGCACTGATCCATCCAGCTCTAGGATTTAGTCCTGGTGTTCTGCTGCCTTTGCAGACAAGAACAAACCTCCAACGTCTTACAGTTCTTCTGTGTAGTGGGCTTTGTTTTATATTGTGTATTTATTCTAAAGAATAATAATACCATCATTTTGCAGCAGTTACTGTAGTTACAGGCAATAAAATGGTGTCTGTGTTTTTAGTGAACAACACTAATGCTGTCTGCTGATATCTCATTAGATAAGAGAAGACCAGTAGTTGCTGACGTGTTGTAGATACTGATCTACCTACAAACTAGAATTCATTTGGAGAAATCAAATAGATCTCATACTGGAGAAAGATGATGCTTTGTTTTTGGAAAATGTCACTTCAAAGCTTGTGTAAAGACTTCATTTTTGCTGTTTGACCTTTAAAAGTAGTAATGACTGTTTCTGACCCCCTACCCTTTGGGGATAAATGAACAGTTGCACATTTTGTGTTTAAAAATGGGTTTCTACTAAAGTTATTTTTGGCAATGCAAAACATTTTTTCTCTGATTGATTATGAAGCAAGCTTCTCAAGCTTTCTCAAGTAAGGCTGAGAAACTGGCAACAAGTGTCTGTGCAGAACATAGGTCATTGCTACCATAAAAAACATTCTACAGTGTGGCCTGCTGTTTTAAGAAGAATGATGGTATTCTCAGCAATCAAGCTTACGTTTGCCAGGATTGCATCTGTACACGATCTGTACAAAAGACCTTTCTATATCTAAAACTTAATGTCTACCTATGTTCTAAGGGTATTGTAAGAAGAAGTGTATTTCTGAAACATGAAAAGTCTTCCGTGAACATGTGAAATTTCTCACTGTGATAAAATGAACTTAAATATGTATTTAATTACAGAACCGAAAGTAGAGCCATGTGCTGACATAATTACACATTCTGAAACAAAGAAGAGGACATATTCTGGTATTCTTATTGTCGTATACGCACTGCTGACTGCAGTCTGGCATGCATCCTCTTATTCTCTGAAAAGATGAGAATGAATACAGGCAGATTATTAGCTACTGTAAAGGCAGAAAAAAGTGAAGAAAATTCCCAGAGGGCCTTACAGTGTGCACACTAACAAGCAATGTGACATTGCTGTTCTCTGATATTAAGAGTGAAATTTATTCTTGCACTTGAAGTCAAGGAGGGGAGTACAAATAAGAAATCAGTTTCAACTTTGTCATAGCATAGTGGTAAATTAAATTTAGCTTTTATTTTTTATAGCAGCTTTCTTTGTTGTTAAGCCAATTTGTGGTGATGGTGATGCTTATTAAACCGATAATGCTGTCGTGCACCACAGCGGCTGCACATCTTTGTGCTCAGGTTCTTCTCCCAGTGGATATGCCACTGCCCATAAATGCACCTTTCAGTTACTGCACATACCAGATTTGTACTGTCAAGGTTTTGAAATACAGATGTAAATGTCTTCTCTCTCTGTGCTGCAGGTGGATCTCCCAGCCCTATGCCATGGCCTGCAGCACTGCCCGACCAAGCTCTGTTAATGGCCTCACCATGAAAGCACAGCTTCAGATTACAGGTGAGTTTTACAGACCAGCTGATCTTTAATACATCAGTTCCCTTCACTTCTGCAGTATGAAAATGTCATGTTTGATAATGCTACAAGTGGTGTTGATGGACCAGCAGGTGGCTCTGGACCAGAACTTCTAATCCAATGCCCCATTATGGTGACCAAAGACAGTATATTGTTTATGGTGCTGCCTTCACGTTTTCTGTAAAACCAAGAATCCTGACTATTTGATTATTAAATATTTCATAGTTCATAAGAGTAGGAATGTTAACCAGGTGTTCTAACTTAATTTAACTCTGGGCGTATATAATCGGGCGCTGTCATAAAGGTCCCCCTTAATTTTATTTGAAGTAAAGCAGTTTCTCAGCAGTTTCTGATCTGCTATGCAGTGAGGCTGCTGTCACAGAATAGCTGCAGTGTGTCACCCAGGTGTGGTAACATTTCAGTGGTGAATGAAGTGGGTTCTCTCCTGCAAATAATGTTTTGGAATCTTTGCAATGAAAAATACTATAAAAATGCAAGGAATTATTTTATCATGATCATCATCAAAATTACTTATTCAAATTGTAATCCTTTCATATATACAAAGTAAGGAAGATCAGATTGCTCTGTAATTCTTCCTGCAGAGCGTGTTCCATTGCATTCTGTTTCTCGTGATAGTGCTCTCTTCAGTGTACATCTAAGACTTTCCCAAAGTATATTTGATTCCACTAGTGTGAAATTACATTTATGCTCAGAAAGATATGGCCTGGATTGTAAGCACTTTACCTACAATAAAAGAATCTTGGCCACATTCTCTTAGAAGATTCTCCTGATGTGCTGCTGGACATTGATGTTCATTAGTTTGAATTTCATCTTCTGTGAATTAAACAAGATTTTTTTAGCTTGATTGGAGTCTTGGTTAATCCTAGATCATTTTTAAAGTTTAAAATATTTGTGCCTTGAGCTTTGAGTCTTCACACTGCTGGATTGATGACACTGACTTTTTGAAGTATTGCATGTGATCAGTAGAACCAGGTTTAGATCTGACATATAAATACATTCTGTGAATATTTAGAATATAGTTTTTTTTAAGATGGTGTATAACATCAAGGGATTAGTACTTAATTTTGAAATATGACTCCTAGAATTTTTCTTTTCCTTCCAGTGCTATCAGCCAAGTTGAAAGAAAACAAAAAAAACTGGTTTGGGCCCAGTCCTTATGTGGAAGTTGCAGTGGACGGACAGTCCAAAAAAACGGAAAAATGCAACAATACTCACAGCCCCAAGTGGAATCAGCCTCTCACGGTGTAAGTGCAGTGTGTCCTTGTGCGAGAGAACCCTGACTACAGGCTCTTGCCTGCTGATGTTACATTCTATCCTTTACTTACATACTGTAAAGCTCCCATCTTGCAGCACCATCTTTATTTAGACCCTTGTCTAACAGGGTTTCAGTTCCAAATGTCAGCACCACCACATCTTTCCTACAGTTCAGCAAAAAGCACTGTGGCAGTATCTGATTTTCAAAACACACAAACCATACTTACTAAACATAAGTGCTATTAAATATATTCCTTCCAGTTTTTATACCATGGAAGGCATACAGAAAAATCCCATGAGTTCCACAGCAGTCAAATAAATAAAACTCATGTATGCACAAAACAGCACAGTATATAGAGTTGCAAACCCTAGAACATAAGAGATAAGATAAGATCACTTAATTAGCCATATACAGTTTCATGCGTTAGAAATTCGTCTTTTGGCATACTCCAGCTTGCTCTCCATGAGACACACAGACAGGGAGAGAAGCTTGGGGTCAGAGCGAAGGGTCAGCCATTGTACAGCGCCCATGGAGCAGCTGGGGTTAAGGGTCTTACTCAGGAGCCCAATGGAGTAGGATTCCTCTGTCGGCTGCGGGATTTGAACTGGCAACCTTCCAGCCACAGGCACAGATCCTTAGTCACAGAGCCCCTGCTTCGCCCCAATTTCTCATATTTAGTAGACATATGAGAAATGTAATTTGAGAAATTACCTTGATTGTTTTCAAATGCGATCTTGCCAAATGAGCTTTAGAAACGTTTTCTTTCCATATTATATTTTTTCAGTTTTTATGATCTGATCTTTTTCCTACCAGCTATACTTGAGTTAAAAATCTCTTCTTCATATACATCCGTATATGAAGAAATCCGTATTTGTCTGATTTGAATTGATTTTTTCCCTCCCATAGGATTGTTACCCCTTTCAGTAAGTTAATTTTCCGGGTTTGGAGTCATCAAACCTTAAAGGCAGATGTTATGTTAGGAATAGCCACACTGGATGTCACTGAAACTCTGAAGTCCAATAATATGAAAAGTAAGTACACTATATAAATCTTCACAGGCAAAATTAGTTTTGTGCAAAGCTTCTTTGGTTAAGTGAGCTGTAGAAGTTAAATACTGTACAACTGTTATGTGTTGTATTGCCTTACCTTTACATCCATAGGCATAAAATTAGAACATGAAAATAAATGCATTAGATTTTTATGTTCTGTTTAGTAAAGAGTGAATTTCTAAACTGTAGTATTGTTTTATTTTTTAAAGGCTATTAGTGCTTGTTTCATATTTCTAGATAATACTTCCTGCTTTCTGAAATTCCTTTCTTGTGGTGCCGTTGAGTCATCAGTAACATGCTAACCAACATTGTTGTATTATGATTTTACATTTTTCAAATGTAGTTTGATTGGAAATTGTTTCTTTACTGTGCAAGAAGTGGATGCACTTATAAGGGTGTATGATTAAGAGTGCGCCACATTATTCACTCATAAAAGGGTCAATCATGATAAAATATTATGATTGGTTTCTTGAAACATTTGTTTTTGCAGGCCTCCAATTTTATTTTAGTTTGGCAAGTGTTAAATGCTCCAGTTCCTTAATTAACTTTAAAGCTGTGAAAAGTTGTACAGAGCTCTGATTTGCAGGCCTTTCACTTTCGTTTCAGTTTCAGAGGTTGTGCAGACATTGCACCTCTCCAGTGACAGGGAGCAGACAGATGTGGTGGGAGACCTGTCAGTGTGTCTGGATGGAATGCAGGTTGATCCAGAAACGTTTGCATCTGTAGACACGAACAGCCTGAGTGAGTCAACCTAAGTCTCTTGTGCTTTTATGGCTGAATCTGTGTTTCAACTGGCATAAAAATTAATGAATACATTTTAATTTAGGAACTCAGGTGTAAACAGTCTAGGCTCTACCTTTAAACTGGAAAATCCAATGTGTAGAAAACATAACTGCAGTTTATTTTAATTCTAGAAAAATAACTTTTTTTGCATTAGAACATGTTTTCTTATTATACCAATAAATAAGTTATTTTTAACTCTTCTAGATTTTAATTTTAAGACGCTATTCTAGTGCAATAGGAGAGTAAAAAGGCTTTGTTGTGGTTTATAAAGTGTCCTGTAATTTGGGAATCTGTATTTTTCCATCACAAAGACACCAACAGCTTGCTTTTTTCCTCTAAATTACTGTTATGACATTACCAATATGAAATTCATTCAGGAAAGGCCTTAGCCTTTATTATTCTATGGTTATAGTAAGAGAATCAGTACAGGAAATTTAAGTGTTATTGATCAGCCTCAGTGTGTCGTAAACATGGTTTATTGAGTTTTTTTAGTGCAGCTTTGATGTTGGTCTGCTAGGGTGAGGTAAAGTGTCAGTAAGTCTGTGTTAACTGTGATGCATAATGCGTTTCTGTTGTGAACCCACTACAAAATTGATGTCACTCCATGCCGTTTATCAAGCTTTTAAAATACAACTTATTTTTCTTCAGAAATGTGCTGCCATCTGTAGGCATCAACTTTAATTAACATTCTGGATCAGAATTTATTGGGCTTTAATCTGTCAACACATAAACGATTTCATCGTGGAATGTAATCTCACCAGTTTCTGACCACGGTGCCTTCACATCTAATTTTGCACATGAAAGAAACTGGGTATAATTTAGATTAAGATGTCTTTGCCACTACAGTGCACTGTTCTTTCACAATACATGTTGTTTATCTGCCATCACTTGCTGGACTGCAGTTACTGTGGTTCTGTCTATTGCTGGTTGAGAAAATGAAGAATAGTTTGCTGCCAAAATCAAATCATAACCATTTTAGCTAGTGAATGTCACAGGCCTGATGTAGTGCTTTAGATGGTGTTTTGTGCAGAAATGTGGCCCTGAAGCAACTTTCCCTTTGACTTTTAATCTTTACACATTTACAGCATCACTTAAAATCTGTTTCACACTTCACAGGCATGGTGCCCAATGGAGATTCACGACAGAACAGTGACTACATTGGAGGGTAGGAATATGTTTTCTTACTTAAAGGTGAAGGTATTACAGAAATGAAAATTGCTAAAATAGTTATCCTTTTTGCAACAGTGATGCAGTCAGTTTATTGTTTAAATACCATCAGAAATTGCTAAAGTACATTGTGTCAAGTTTGGTTATTCATTCTGTAGCAGTGCTCATACTGATGCAGCCCCATGGAATGTTTTTTTTCAGTGTTTTGCAACTAAACCCATATGTTTTATATCAGTTATGATGTGGATGTTCTTTATAAATCAGGCTCATAGTGGCTATTAAAATGAATCTCTAAATGTACTTTAGAGTATATTGGGCCAGGTTGCCATATGATTTTAATTAGGTAGCAGTTTGTCTTCCATTGAAGCATTTGGAACCTGCCATGTGCTTAGTAACTCTTATTGAAGAACATGTAGAATTGGGCTATTCAGAAGCCGGATACCAGAGGTTAATTAAATCACATTTATTTTGATTTTGTGATTTTTTTGTGACTTTGTGATTGACATCTTTTAAATGCCTTCAGACCCTTGACTTGTCATTAAGTCTGGCTCATGTTTGTGAACATGTTTAGAGCCAAAAGTGAAGCAAAGTTGGCGCTATCCTGATTGACCAGCAATCATATCCGCTCAGGGAGTTTCCTGCCAGGATTCAGCAGGTATAATACCCTGCACACCAGGGTACTAGGACAGATTGGACGTGAGCAGATGTAGAAAATTAATTTCTTGATGTCACATTTAAATTTTCAGCCCCATGTGCAGTGGCCTATTAATGCATGCTTCTGTCTGGTTGTATTTTAGATTAATTAGATGTGCAAATGATTGTGTTGTAGGATAAACAGGGAAGCATCTCCCTCGGGAAGTATTGAGGACATGGCAGCTCCAAACGGCATGGCGGTGAATGGCAGAGGCTCTCCATGTCTCTCTGCAGGCGGTTCTAAGCCATTCCGGCCCCCGAGACCCTCCCGACCTCCGCCCCCCACCCCCCGTAGACCTACTGCGTCACCAGGTACAATCTCGTCCACTTCTCTGCCTGCTGTGCTCTGCTTTGTCTTTCACCTGCTTGTTTTCCTACTGTAGTGGTGTTTACAGGATGAATGGCACCTTTGCTGTGCCTGGCACTGTGTGGTTACTTTTGTTCTCCATTTTGGGAGTAAGAACGAACATGGTTTGTAAGTCTTGCTATTGGGGAACATGTTTCACAGCCAGTGAATAAAAATGTCCATAAGCATAAAGCAAACTGTTAAGTTTAATGACTATGCTTAGGAGATGGTCTGTTTTAGCTTTGCCAAGATTCAAATGTTTATCACATTCAGATAAGTTTTGTAAAATGTTGCATTAAGTGTGAGATTTAAAACCTCACACAACATATTAGTGCAGATAGTTTTCTTTGTTACAAACGCATACTAAATATTTTCTAAAAGGCAGCTTCTTAAGAGCTAGTCTACACCTCACCATAGCTTGACCTGCAACATCACTGAGCTGTTGCATAGGTGTTAAGCAGTCATACACAAAACTTCTGTTAGACAAAGGTTTTTAGTTACCTTAATCATGCATATTTTTACTGGTAGTAAATTTTTGCTGTTTCATGTCACCTTTGTAGAGAACCTTATGACCTAGAATTTAGATGAATGATAAAGGCTTCAGTCGTTTAAAGCATCTGACCCATTTTTGTTCCTCTTGTGCTTGCAGTATCTACCAATGGGTCTGTGTCCAGTGAAGGCAGTGCCTTTTCTAATTCAGAAGCCTCAGTAAGGGCACCTGCATCAGCTGAGTCTGAGTTAAACACACCCAATTCTATATCCCAGGAGTATGGGTCAGCTGGCATGAGACAGAGTGTGGGTGTGAACCCACCTGCCCCCAGAATCAACCCGGTCAGCACGGGTCCCCTGCCTCCTGGGTGAGTGCCTCCCATTTTTAGACAAACCTCAACCACAACCTAGTTTTCAGCATATCAGCTGAACTAGAACTTCTGCAGTATCGCTTTTAAAAGCACTTTACTACCTTAAAAAATTTGCTTCATGCAGCTCATTTTCTAAATCTATTTGGGGAAAAATCCTTAGTAAACATTTTAGATCAATTACTTACTAGCAAACTAGTAAGATGGATGAATGACCTCCTTTTTCTGCTTCCTTACCTATTTTGTCATGTTTGGTCATTTAAGCTTTTTGCTTTTACACACAGAACATACACACAGAACTAGTGTAGTTTTCATGAAATAAGAACAGCTTCCCAAAATCACACTCCACAAACTGAAATAATAACTTGAACAAAATAGATTATGCAGACTGAATGTTCTGCAAATGACTCTAGCAAGCCTTTTGAAAACTGCTCACTTAAACAATCCTGTTTACAAGGGCTTTTTTTCTTTTGCTTTCAATATGTCATCCGTGAAAATGGCTACGAATCTACAATGTAATCACAGAAACAGTATCTCTGCTTATGTATTTTACTGATAAAATAATTTTGTTAAAAAGAACACATTTTTTCACAACAACACATTTTGTGCCTAAAGATATCATAGCATATTACAAGGGTTATCAATTCCAGAATTTTGACTTCTTTTTTTAAACCTCTCAAGAGTTCTTGCCTCTCTTTCATTTCATGTCAACTGAGCACACCTCCACCTGTAGTGTGTTGCTGTTATCATTATGGCACATTGGCAATTTCTTAGAAGCACATGTGCACACAGTAATGACACAACCTGGAATGCTAGATTACTGTTATGTCTTGGCTCTAAAATAAACTGTGTTGTTCCAATGATGGGCACTTCTCCTTCACAGCAGCCTTACAACTTCTGTCAGGAAGGCCAGTGTAGTTCTCTGGGGTTTTGAAATATTAGAATGTAGGGAGGTGTGGTTATGGGGTTAGCAAAGATACATACATTTCATTCATTGAAGAAACTACAAAGTTTGTAAACTTGACTGTTAATCAAATAAAAAATATTGATTGAATTGATCATTTGGTTGATTGTTGATTCTTTTTTTAATGCACATGTGAAGGTGGGAGCAGAGAATAGACCAGAATGGGCGTGTGTACTTCGTAGATCACATTGAGAAGAGGACAACCTGGGAGAGACCAGAGCCCCTTCCCCCTGGGTAACACAAGAGCGTGGCTCTGGGAGTCTGAGCAGCAGACCCTTACTAGAGTCTATCTAGAACATTACCCTTTAGTTTTTGCCATATACTGTCCTCCATCCTGAACCTAGGCAGTGCAGTGCAGTGCAGTGCAGTGCAGTCTGTCTGTAGGTGTGGATTTATTTAAGGATGATGGATTTACTAGCTGACTATTTTCATATGTTTTAGCTGCTCTTATGGATATTAAGGTTATTGTTACAATAAGGAAAATAGGCAGCATACATTAAACTGTTCTTTCGATATGTTTAATGCAGTGGATTTAAAGAGCCAATTTAAATTTGTGACTGTTTTGCTCTTCAAATATAATTTTGCTCTGTTTTCCTGGTTATTGCTTGAATATCCCTTGCAGCTGTTGGAGTTCTTTTTGCTATACAGTTGAATCTTATGTAGAGACAAAAATTCCTAATTTAGCGCAACTTCCCAATATAACTAAGCACAATCAAACCATGTTGATTTGTTCTGATAAAAGAAAGATTTTTCTCATCTCTTTACTTAAAGCTTATCTGAGTTATTGAAAAGTCAGAAGTGTAATCGTACACCCTATTGGGTGGGAGCAGTATGTACTGCTTTTTATATTTTGTAAACTCCTAGGTGTTGTTTTGTGACACTGTTTGTCTGACAGACACTGAGGTGCTGTATATTCAATACCAAGACTCTAGGGATGCATAGTGATCTGTTCTTAATGGCCAGTACAGTTCAGGGTTCAGCTTAATTAAGACTGTCCTTCTCCTCTGCCCGCAGATGGGAGCGACGCCTTGACCCAATGGGCCGTATGTACTATGTTGATCACATCACTAGGACAACTACTTGGCAGCGCCCCACTGTTGAGTCTGTGCGGAACTACGAGCAGTGGCAGCTGCAGCGAAACCAGCTGCAGGGTGCCATGCAGCAGTTTAACCAGAGGTTTATATATGGGGTAAGTGACACCCGTTCCATTGTCCAGTAATTGATGTCATATTCTTTCCAACCCCTTTTCTCCAAAACACCATTGCTGCTGTAATATTAAAGACTGAATAAATAACTTTTATTTTTAATTTCCAATACAGAAATTAGTAAACTGTGCTAATAAAAACTGTGATGTTAAATAAGCTGACAAAAAAAGGTAGAAGGTAGAATTCATTCTTTGTAGAATTTACCTGTTTTAACCCCAGATATCTCCACTGTTTTGATGTTTTATTCGTAGGGCTTTTAAGTGTTTTATTCTTCTGGCAACATTACAGAGACATGCATGCTAAGGGCAGGAGGATTCTGCCAGTCAATGTGGAAACTAGTCAAGACTGAGTTTGAATTGGCCACATAATGGCATAATTTACGGTAAAAAAGCTCAAATTCCCAAAATGGTTTTATTCTGCTTGTCCACTTTTCAAAAAGTGCAGGTTTATTTCTGTGTTTTCATTGTTGACATACTTTTCTTACGTTGACTTTTATTAACCATTCCAGCTCCAAGATCAAATTCCAGTGACACAGAATAAAGAATTTGATCCACTTGGACCTCTACCGCATGGATGGGGTAATACATTATATGATTGCATGACATATTAATAGAGATAAGAATATCAATCAGGGTCTAATGAATAAAACTGCTTTTTTTAACTCACCTGGGAGCAGCTCTTTGGCTGCCATTTATCTTTGAATATTAGAAGTAATCACTCAGGTCTCTAGGAATGCATGCTCTAGTGTTAAATGTTTCAGGTTTTATTTTTCATTGGAAAAATATTGATAAGCTATTGTGGTGGATGCAATTAAATAAATCAGGCAAACATACTGAGGAATGACAGCAGCAGCCTGTGCTGAATGGAATGTGTTCAGCTGAACTCCTGTCACAAGGCAAAGTGAAAACTTCCAAGAAAATGGTTTTAGGATCTCTTGGGCCTTCCTCCTTGTTTCACAAATTTTAGATGGGTAAAGGTCAGTTTTGATGAGTGTCTCTCTCCTCTGAGCAGCACTCCAGGTCAGATGCAGTGTCATTTGCTTGTCTAGAGCAGCCCACACAACAGCTTTGAAAAGGTCAGAATTCCTTCTAGATGGGAAGCATAAGATAATTTGTTTACTGGGGATGTTGAAATGGTATAATAGTGGAAATAGGAGAAATATTTATTGGCACCATTGACTTCTTAATTGAAGTTATAGACGTTATTGCCAATAAAAAGCAAAACACCTAATAATTCCATCTGCAATAACAATACAAGTTGGCTTGTTAGTGTAATTGTCAGAATGACATCATTTAAAATACATTTTATCTAGTTACTTGATTATTTGAGTATAAAATTCTGGATTATAATTATTTTATTGAATTGTATATAGACAAATGAGATATACTTCATGTTAATTATTCCTCCTGTCTGAGGGCATCATCCAGCATGCAGTGCGATCAGAGAAGGAAAAGGCAACTTCTTTAATGCTCTAAAGGTTGAATTTGAATTTAAGCAATATTAAGTATAATTTAAGGCAGACCTTACTTTGTATGCTTTATATTGCAGAGAAAAGAACAGACACCAATGGGAGAGTCTACTTTGTACACCACCCAACACGCTCGACTCAGTGGGAAGACCCACGAACCCAGGGGTAAGCACTTGGCTTCATTGCCTTTTTATTCTTCCACTTTATGGAATAAGTCATAGGATGCAGAAACAGATATGATGCATGAAATATAAAAAGCATGTGGTTTATTCTGAAATAATTTATGTTATGGTATGTTATTTGTTTACCTGACACTGTTATAAATAGCTCAGCCTTTTTGCTGAATAATATGCTGCTTTTAATGGTAATCACAATTCTTTCTGTATGATTAAGACTCCTGAATGAGAAACCACTGCCTGAGGGCTGGGAGATGAGATTTACAGTGGATGGTATTCCATATTTTGTGGATCACAATAAAAAGACAACAACCTACATTGACCCTCGGACTGGAAAATCATCCTTGTAAGTGCTGCAGCTCTCTTGTTTTTTCATAGCCAGATGCACCTGACAAAATTTTCATCTAAAGTTACGGTATATCTATGTGGCACCTCACATCTGCTAATGCACCTTTAGTCAATCATGATTCTTTCATGCCCTTATGTTCAAAGTAAGAAAGAAAAATGCCATATTCATATCTTTACAGTTACCAACAGCTTTTTTATCTATTTTAAAGTCATTAAAGAAATTTAATGCTTCTGCTCCTGATTGGTAATGTTATACAAATGAAATGCACTATATTTGAGTATATCATGTCATTAGTTAATAACCTGCCTTATATTTGAGGACAAACCTGGAAAGTTTTTGTATGTTAATGTTACAGTGCATTGCCCCAGTTTTTACCAGCCAGGTTGATTTGTGGTTGGGACACAGTTTACTGACTGCAGCCTTTTTCTCCAAATGCCACCTGTATATCTCAAGTCCTCCTTAGCTAAATGGCATTGTTTTGTCTAGCTCACAGAGGTGCAGAACTCCGGGCCTCACGGGCAGAATGCAGCAGCTTTTCATAGTCCATTTAAGTCGTCAGCAGCTTTGCGAAATCTTATGTTGGTCTGGTTAAGGTGATGATTAGCTCAAGTGCGTCATTAAGAGCAGAGGTGGAATGAATCCTGCAAACACAGCAGCTGCAGGGCTGGAGTTGCATATATCTCTACTAATTTAAGTTCTTCAGAATGAAAAAATATTGAACTGCACAATACTGTTTTTCTAAAAACAAATGCTTCCTGGTATTTTGTGGCACAGTCTATTTTGAAACTTCTTTGATGATCTAAGAATCTTAGTGAAGAAAAACAGATATACTCTTGTACAAAACCTTGCATCATAACTATGGTTTGTGGTTTGTATTTTTCTTATAGTTGTCTTCTCTTGAGTTATTCTGTAAAGGGGAATTTCCCAGGCTGTGTAACTAATTTGCTGGTAAAATGACTTGTATTTTCACTAGTTGGTTAATAACTGACAGGCTGTTTAACAAAACACCACTTTCTTCAGTTTCCCTTTGTCACCTGAGGGAGAATGCTGCAGAGTCTGCCCAGGCTGTGTGGTTTTGGTGGCACAAACAAGCTGCTGAAAATTTTTTTTGGTACAAAATCAATCAGATTTTCTTTTCCTCTCCTTCAGAGAAAATGGGCCCCAGATCACCTATGTACGAGACTTTAAAGCCAAAGTACAATACTTCAGATTCTGGTGTCAGGTAAATTTCCAGTTATTTATTTAAACATTGAAAGTATTCCAGTTTACTGAATATAATTCTGTCATCTGTTGTATTACAAAATATAATTTATATTTTACACATAAGTAATGTTTTTTATTATCTTTGTTAAATCTTAATTTTGTTTTTCAGCAATTGTCAATGCCTCAGCACATAAAGATCACTGTATCCAGGAAAACATTATTTGAAGATTCATTTCAGCAAGTGAGTAAATAATTCCTACTGGCAGTGGGTTAAAGAAAAAGCCTGGCTGTAAATTGTACTTAGCTTGGTCAGTCCTCCTTATGTGTACTGATGAATTTCTTCATTGCCATTCTGCTGGACTTGTTGCTGTCTCAATGGTTTTATGAGGTTGATTTGCTCTCAAATGTTTTGAGTGAACTACATCAAGAGGACAACCATATCCTTCCATTTACTGGTCCAGAGCCTACTCCTCATCACGCTTTAGTATGATGAATGAGGTTAAATCTTGCTTGCACCTGTCAAGTTTCTTGTAGTCTTAATAATGAAGATGGAATTTAATTTTTCAGGAAGAAATAAGCCAAATTATACACATGTGAAATAAAATAAGATTATCTACTCTTGTTCTGTAATGGGTGGTCTTTCACAGGAGAGCCTGCTAATTACTGTTTTGTTAAATTAATCTTTTCAGATAATGAGCTTCAATGCTCAAGATCTGAGACGCCGATTATGGATCATTTTTCCCGAGGAAGAAGGTCTGGACTATGGAGGTGTCGCAAGGCAAGTTTCCTGCTTCACTTTGGAACATGTTCAGTTTTTCTGCTGCTTATACATGATTTCCACAAGATCTCTATATAAATATCTGCTTGAATCATAATACCTAATACCATATAATTTAATTCTCTTAGTTTATACTCTTAAAAAAAGGAACAGTCAGAGAGAAGGATTTGATATTTTTTTTCATATGTCATCTTAGATGGTATTTTCTGAGCTCCACAATAGATATTTGTTAAAGTGTTAGTGTGGACTTCAATAAGTAAAGTGGGGGGAAAAAGAAGTCCGGAAGTTTACAAAGTCAAGCTGTGGTCTGCAAAACATCTGTATTTAATGTGTATTTTAACCACACTCACCAATTAAAATGGTTGTTGCCTGTGGTGTTTAAAAGCCCCAAGTGTGTCAGCCAGTAAAGGTGCTCTCTCAAGCGCAGATTGAGTACTGTGATCCAGGGTGGGAAGTGAGTCTGGGCACTTTCAGCTCTCTTGAGTCAGCGTTCTTGCTGTCTTGCAGATTTGCAGCCTTGCGGTACTATCAGTGATGGCTCATGTATTTAACATGTGACTGTGTCTTAAGAGAAATATCTTATCTCAGCTCATTGTAGGAGTCTGCCTACACTTCCTCGTGCTCACCCTTTATGTGGTAGTGGGGTTCGTAGCTGCAAGCTGAGATTGGGTGGGCACAACACAAAATAACAGATAATTTTAATTTGAAAAATAAAAACGTTTTTAGCAATAGATAGCTGTTGTTGTATATGAAGGTGTCTGTTTGTAGTGACTATAAAGTGCCTGTCTACCCAGGGAATGGTTTTTCCTGCTGTCCCATGAGGTGCTGAACCCCATGTACTGCCTGTTTGAATATGCTGGCAAAGACAATTACTGCCTTCAAATCAACCCAGCCTCCTACATCAACCCCGATCATCTCAAATACTTCAAGTTCATCGGCAGGTTCATAGCCATGGTGAGAGATTGTTGCTTTATTTTTTATTAATATAGAGGTTTATCATCTAATGGTGCTGCTGAGTCTATGTATGCTCAGTGATTGCACCACTTGTTCAGTTAGTAATCATTTTCATTGACAACTGATTTTTTCAGAAAATTAAACCATTCTAACATACTTTTTTAGTCAAATGAGCCATGATTTTCTTTCTCAGTCTAATACAAAATGTGCTACAGTATGTTTAGAAGTTAATTATATAAAATGCACGAAATATAGCTGCATATTTGTGAAGAATGTGGTAAGTTTTGTCCTGTAGAAAACTGTAAATGCAGGATTTCATTGCTGCGGCTAAATGTTTGGGTTTTATTTCTTACTTGACTCCATTGATAGGACAGTGAATTAATATTTTACATTGATCTCAATAATCTCAACTCAATAAATGAGTTGGAATCACATAATCACATGCTCTGTACAGAATGTGCAGTTGAACTTTTGAACATTGTTTCCTTGATTGTTTCAGGCCCTATTCCATGGGAAATTCATTGATACTGGATTTTCTCTGCCTTTCTACAAACGCATTCTGAACAAGCCTTTGGCTCTGAAGGATCTAGAATCCATTGATCCTGAATTCTACAATTCCCTCATCTGGATAAAGTAAGTTGTCTCCAAAAACTTTCAGCACTTTTCTTTAAAAAGTTATTTTAACAATTTTCACAGGCACATTAAATAAAACAGGGTTTGTTTTGTTTTTGGAATAATGTTTATAATTTTTTTATAAACGTGGTGGTATGGATGTAATGGTGGTAAGGATGTAATGAAAGGTGTGTATTGAGAAATGAAGCATTAACAATTTATATTTTAGTACATAAGTATCAGGTGTTTAGACGCCACAAACTAGGAGCCAGTACGAAGAATATTTTAGGCTTTTTTGGTTTACAGGTGACAGGAAAATTAATCAATCTTAGCACCTTTAAGTCCTTTTTAATAAACTGACAAAAATGTTTATTTGGTTATATTTAAAAAAACATTACTTAATATCCTTTATATAATTAATGTTAAAATGTATTTACAAGTTCTGTCATTACAATAACTTCAAACCAATTCAAATCAATTTTCAAATAATTAAATGGAGTAATATAGGAAGAATTGGTATTATTTATTTAAAAATCCAAATTTTTCTTTTTTGGTAATTTATACTACTATAGCCTCCTGTTTTACCAGTGATAAGTTTAATTCCTGTACATTTCAAGGATGATAGTCAGGAGAACTGATAAACATATCCTGTCCATAAACAAATTAACAACAGTGTATTGCCAAAGAGTAATGAAAGACCCTTTCCTGTTAAAGGTTGTACAAAATCTGTTTCTTTCAAAGTGTTGTGTTGGACAAAGTCTTGACATGCACAGCTTTTTTTCTCTGACTGTTATCACCACAAGCTAGATTTTAGTGTGAGAGTGTCCATAACTCTGTATCACTGATAGAGGTATTTCTAATTATTATAATGGTTCACTGTTTAAATATAATGTTCTTAACTTAATGATCTAAAATATAATTGGGTAATTTGTTAACTCTTTACTAGTTGATTTTAAATTAGTAATGGGTGCTTAAGAAATCATAACAGTGTGGGAGTGGGCAGAGCCACGGTGAGCACCGATTAAAAAGTCAGCACCCCTAACTGAGGGACAGAAGCACCTGTGTGAGGTTAGCAGGAACCAAAAATAACACAAAAAAGGGTGGAAAAAACTAAACAAAAAGAAATGTGCCGCTGTGCATCGCGACATCCAGGCTGGGCTTACCCTATTTTACGGGGTCCAGCCTTGGGAAAAGAACTGCTTAGCACAGCGATGACCAGACTGGGACTTACCCCATTTAGCGGGGTCCAGTCTGGAAGAGCAGGAAGCATAAGGCCAACACAAAATAAATACTTAATTTGTAGAAAAGGTCACCCTGCCCTGGTACAGATACATGATGGGACAGGCAAATAGAGAATTAAAAAGAAGAAAAATTACAGCCTTAAGTGGGTACGATTCCCTCCAGAACTGCCGGTGAAAATTCCTCCTCTTCCAGGGGGTTTCTCTGCTCGTCCCTTCCGTGCTTTTATAGAGCCCACACAGCTGTGGCTCGTCCTCAGGCAGCCAGAACAGTAGTGACTACTAAGGCAACGCGTTGCCCTTCATCCAGGGCTCTGCCTCCACACTGAACATGCCCCCACGTAATGCCACAGAATGCTTAGATCTTTAAAATTGTGCCTTGTTCTGGTTTTCTGCAAAATATCGTCTATTGTTGAAGCATGTTCACAATTAATATTGTGAACAATATGTTCCAGTCGCTGGTTTTAATTAATAAAAATGTTAAGTTCATTTTGAGTGCATACAGTTCTTTGAGTGCACACTATTCTGTTAATTATATGTTGTGCAGACCAAAAGGACTTTTTTTATCTTGTAAGTTTGATTTTAGCAGTATAAATCTTAAATATATCTAAATTTAAAATCTTAGCTGAGGTTATTGATTTTTGAATGTTCATACTTTCCCTAACTAAACTGCCCTCAGTCTTGTACTTTGGAAGTTGGATTTAAGGATTTTGTGTTTGCTGTTCTGTTTAATACATAGGAAGTAACTTTGCTCCTGGGATTGTCTTTTCTAGGGAGAACAACATTGAGGAGTGTGGTCTGGAAATGTATTTCTCGGTGGATAAGGAAATCCTGGGTGAAGTCACAACTCATGAACTGAAACCAGATGGAAGCAATGTTTTAGTTACAGAAGAAAATAAGGAGGAGTATATCAAGTATGTCCACTTCAGACGTCTAAGAGTTTGTTGTTTTCAAGTGCTTTTATCAGTACTTTAGGTATTTGTCAGAATGAAGAATTATAAGCAGGTTAGAACTTTAAACAGTGAAGAACATCACAGTTTCCTCAATGCACGTCAGCCTATATGAACATGCTGTAAAGAAATAAATGATGAGCCTTTCAACTCTTGTTTCTGTAGGCTTGTGGCAGAATGGAGACTGTCCAGGGGCGTGGAGGAGCAGACTCAGGCTTTCTTCGAGGGTTTCAATGAAGTTCTTCCACAGCAATACCTGCAATATTTCGATGCAAAAGAATTGGAGGTTAGGAGCTTGCTAAACTTAAACCATTCCTTGTTTTGTAGGCTTTACCACGCTGAAGTACATCAACTGAAATTTGACTACTGCTGTCACTCATCCTCCCCACATCACTCCTTAAAATTTAGAAAAGGTTTTCAGTATTTTCTGACTGCTCCATGAAAAATTATTTTTTAGTTCACAATAATTTAGGTGTGAGGACATTTTGAAATTGATACAGAGCTGCAAAGATTACTTGAGAAAGCAAACATTAAATGAAAATCTCAGTTTTTACAATTTAGGAGGAATGGTGTTCAACACTGGCTCCCTTATTAGTTTATGGTATGTTCGCACAGTGTTTCTATGGTTTTCTCTTGTCGTTACTACTAGTAGACCTTTTCTGTTCTTCTTTACAAAATTTATATCATCACATTTCTCTGTGGTTTAGTGTGCTTCTTCCTCAGTTTCACTGTGCTTTAATTCTGTTTTACTCTGCTTTTACTGTACTATACCGTGATATGCATGCATAAGGACTCTTTCTATCTCTTAAGATAAAAGGTCCCAGTTTTGGACCTTGTTTTCCAGTCTTGACAGTGGAGGCTAATGCAATGAGTTACTCCCACAGGTGATGCTCTGCGGGATGCAGGAGATTGACCTGGCAGACTGGCAAAGGAACACCATCTACCGCCACTATGCACGCAGCAGCAAGCAGATTGTATGGTTCTGGCAGGTCAGTACAGGGCCACCAAAACACAGCCATCTGTCTTGTTTTTGACTATGGAAAATATTCTACTCTACCCTGTCTGCAGTCTGTTCCTCTCAGTCGGGTTGTTAAGTACCATTGAAGTAATCAAGTGGAGCTGTTTCTTTGTTTGCAGACGGTTTTTGTTAAATAGCATTTTTATACCACAAATAGGACGTATCCCAAACTGGTGTGCACTCTTCTGGAGTCACAGAATGTTATAGATCAGCTTTGGGGTGTTGATGATTTTAAGAGTATTTTCCTGTGTTGTTAGCACTTCATCTTTGCATTTGTGTTGTTTTAACTTTCAAGTCCATTTACCTGAATCCTAGAAGTGAAGGTGGGTATTAGTTTTACAGATAGCACCTCTTTTATGCACAAGATTTATAAAAGCACAAGATAAAAATGGCAAAAATGTAAAACAGTTTTCCCAGACCACATGCTAGGAAATATTTCAAATATGTAATAAGTCTTTCAAATGTTATACTCCTTCTGCCCCTGCAGTTAATCAAGGAAATGGACAATGAAAAGCGTATGCGCCTGCTACAGTTCGTCACTGGGACCTGCCGTCTGCCTGTGGGAGGATTCGCTGACCTCATGGGTGAGTGGTTTTAGAAAGTGACCCTGGAAGCTGAACTGTACAAGAGGCAATGGCTTGATTTGGAACACAACTTCGGTCACACTGGCCCCGTAGGTTTCCCCACTTCCTTTCTGCAACCGGTCATCCCAACAGAATGCAGGAATTTTCTTTTTTGCTGGAGTGCTATGAAATACTTCCATACAAATATGTTTTTCTGTACTTTCAGGGAGCAATGGCCCACAGAAATTTTGCATCGAGAAAGTAGGGAAAGAAAACTGGTTGCCTAGAAGTCACACCTGGTGAGTTCAATATATTGTTTCCTGTGATGCTGTGCTTAATTTAGCCCATCCTAATGTGACACCACAGCCATCATGTAGTAGCAGAACCACAATTTATGTTGATTACTGGAAAGTTATGCATTTTGTGATGGTCAGACTCAGATTTGTAATCTTAAAGATGTTGCCTTGTGGTTGCAGGTTTGAAATTGAATTGTGAACTAGATTTGTTTTTGCTTGCCTGTTCAATTTTGGTATTGGATTCCATTTATACCAGTAGTGCCAAAGTGTTAAACCTTGCTCTTTTCAATATTATGCTTTTAAAGGTGCTGCAGAAGGGTTTCATTTCTTTGGTATACGGCTTGATCATCTTTTCATAATTTGCTCTCTCCCATTCAAAGAATTTAAACATCAGCTCACTTTGTCAGCTTATAAACTAACTGTGGGGACTGGATCAGTGCTGTCCTGCTGTTTATTCACATCAAGTAGACGGAATGTTTTCATCTGATTTAGACATAGGTGCTGTCTTAACGTGTGGTAATTGTACCTGTGCTTTCATATTAATCCAATTTAGATTGTTTATTTTAAAAACAGACATACTCTGCACTTATGCTAGTTTAGGTTCCTGGCACCTAGCATTAAATTTAGGGTTTTTTGGTTCATGTATATATTAGAGTGGCTGATAACATATATACCTATATAAGCACACGGCATACTTAAATACTGTATTTTCAAATATTAAAGAGCTTTACAGTACAGTTGCCTTTTGACTTAACTTTTTTTCCTGTTTTGCAATTCAAGCTTTAATCGTTTGGATCTGCCTCCCTACAAGAGCTATGAGCAGCTGAAAGAGAAGCTGCTGTTTGCAATTGAAGAAACTGAAGGGTTTGGACAAGAGTGACCACTGTGGGTACCTGAGGCGCCTGCACCATGCAACTTTGTTTTTTTTCATTCAGCGGAGCTTTCGGGGTTGACCCTTCTGTTTCATTCTTGTGCTGGCTACGCTCAGCAGTCTTGTCGATTCCGAGCTTTGTCCTGAGACTGATCACCTGTCCGCCGCCTCTCAAACAGCCATGTGTTTAGCCGAACGCCTGAGCTGGCTCTCGTTTAAAAGATACTCTCGCTCGATCTCGCAAAAAAAGACTATGTAGAAACAGGTGAGCCTGGAGAGTTGGAAGGGGCTAAACTGTACAGCATCCTTTGTGTTCTTCTCCACTGTTTTGAGTTCTTCTCCACTTAAAAAAAAAAATGTTTTTTTTTGTATGCATATTTAATTCAGAAGTGCACACTGTCACAAATCACATTTTGAATGAGTAATCTAAAGATTGTTTTCATGTAGGTAAGGACTGAATGTGGAAGCCTGAAAAATGTGCACTATAATGTATTTTGTCATGTCTTTTTGCAATTAAGAATTATTGATTTGACTCTTGAAGCAAAAGAAAATGTAAATGACTTAATGAAACAAACTGATCAGGAAATTAAGGAATAGCTGTGATGCTCTGTTCCTTTGGTATGCTGAGATGGTGCCTAAAACCTTTCATTTCAGATTTCATTTTTCGTGCGGCACTTTAAATACAAATTATTTTGGAAAATATTAGGTTTTTACATTGGAATGCTTAAAAATACCTCGGTGAGGACATAATCTAAATCTAGCCACAATTTGGGTTTTTTTTTTGCCTGTTATGCATAAGGTGCAGACTTGACATGCCAGTCTTCTGCTTCTTTCCTAGTTGTGACGGCTGTCCCTAGTATTGCTTGACATCTGCCTTGTGTGGTGAATTTGTGCAATTTTGTCTGAAAAGCTTTTTTTCAAGGTTTTTGCAGTTCATCAAAACCATATTGGGAAAACAAAGGAATTTTTGAGAGAAAAATGGTTTGGTTTCATCACTGACAGGCTGTGAATTTGTAAAGAATTCTGCACTTTTTAAATGTTTTTTGTGTTCTAGTGCCCTGTACTCACAGGTTTTGCTTTGAAAGGTAACTGCAGAAACATGAGAAATCATGTTTGACTCTTAATGAAGCAAGCATGTAATTTATACCAATGTGTGCTGCAAGGCAGAAACTTTTCATTGTTACTATTCTGTAATTGTGTATTCCTAACCAACAGAGCTAATAATAGTTTTGAACACTGTCTTCAGTTGAACCTATAGTTTTGAAGCCATACCTTCATTACACATGAAGTCCAGGACAAATGTGTGCTTTTTAATGCTCTTTACTCATCTCTCACTAGTAAATCTATTGAAAATGTAAAATAAAGTGAGAAAGGCATACTGCCCTATATTTTTAAATATGATAAATTATAATAAACAGATAAAGCAGCTGCAGCCCTAGTTTTATAGGGTTTTGCTGTTTATAGTTTATTTTTATTGGTGTTGATTTCCTGTAAAAGCAATGATTGTACATATAAAAATTAACCATAATAAACCTATTACTTGTTCCTAAAAATTAACCATAACATAATTACGTCATTAGCACCCTTCCCAGGTGATATCAGCTGATGTCAAAATGCAAAATGTAGAGGCTGTGTTAGATTTACATCTTGCTCTGTGGCTTGCCAGGCTCTGCAATGCCCTCTACTAGCAATAAAAAGGTGATTCTGAGAAGTTAGCGGCATCGGGCATTTAACCTTTTAAAATGAAATGGTATGATTCATTTTTTCCCCTAGGGTTACTTACTTTGACAGATGTGGAAAACATTTAAAAAACAGTACCCTTTGTGACTGCAGCATACCGTTATAAATCTTAAAAGTCAAAATTAATTTGCCTGTTTGTCTTCCCTAAAAAATGATTTCATTGTGAAAACTTAAATATGTAATTTTTACAATAACATATGATGCCAATATTTGTTCTTTTTCAACTTTTTCCAGTTACCTTTACTTGTTATATTATTGCTACAGACTTTCTAGGTCCTGGTATTTGGCTTGTATGTCAAAACTTATAGAACTAGATGGAGGTGTGTGCACTTTTTGTACTGTTTCTGTTTCCGTTATCCACTCAGGTAGACATCGAAGGAGTCATTCAGCAATGTTTCAGACTGAAAGGATAACAAAATAGAGGCTTTAGATGTCAAGCCTTTCCTACATCTGTGACCTGATTTTATGTGCAACACTTAAAGTTACTGTCGCACAGCTCTGTTGAAGGTCAGAAACGGAACCATTAGTACGCCTGGCTGTCCTGAGCACTGCAGCAGCCAGCACCTAATTGGTGTTTTAGGTTAGCAGATTTTCTCAATGGAGAGAAAAGCAAAGAAGGAAATGCAGAATTATTTACCATTTTCCTTCTAGATTTCCTTCCTTTTTCTGCCAGCTAAGCTTTTACCAGTTTCTTCCTCTTCTTGCATGTTCTGGTGTTTCAGACATACAATGACTCCCTTTTGTCTTTTAATTCCTGTTTTTTCTGTTATAATGTGGAACTTAGGAGAGCAGCTTCTGTTTTTCCTTTTCAACAAATGTCACTTTTAGTTTTTTTTCTGTAGCAACCTTAATAGCAGTTGTTTAATTCAATTTATCTGTGTATCAAACTGCACCTTTCTCATATTTGTTATTCAGTAGCTTCCATTATCTATAACTCCTGAATGTGGAGTAGTAGTGAAATCCTTTACAACAGATAAAATGTTTTGCTTGAAAGTAAATTAGCCATTTTACAGAATTCATTCTTTAACATTTGTAGATGGTAGAGCTAATGACTGTATATGCTCAAGTCTTTAATGCCTAAAACTGTGGTTTTCCAAATTATATTTAACATTTCAGTTTATCGGTTGTCACTGCAGAAGGCTGTCTTGAATTGAACATCTGTAACCAGAATATGAGCGTTATTATGCTTCTGCTGTTGTGGTTTTTTCTCTCAAAGCTGACTTTGAAATCATGGGTTTCTTGCACCCACAGATTCACTACTTCTCAAAAACTTCGAGCAAATCTAAACAGGTACCCTTGAGTTCTATAGTGTTCATGTTCAAGTATGTAGATTGTCGCACAACATTTGATCAATTATTGCAAAACTGAGACTGCATTACCTCAGAGTCTTGATTCTTTTAAAAGGACTGTAACATCTTTCCACCACATAATAAAGTTTAGGTAAACTGGCTTCAGTATTTAACTGTAGAGATGCAGTTGCACCACTCTTGATTGTTTGGATGGTGGAATATTTAATACCCCAGGGAAGAAATTGTAGATAAGTTTATATTGTACTGCAAATACATTGTGATCTTTTTTTTTTATTTATCTGTGCCCGATACTTTGTTTTTCATTTGAGATCCCAATAATACATGCTTAACTATTCTAATCTACTCTGTGTACATTAAATGAAGGCTGTAAATCATGTTAATAATGAATTCAGTTATCTTTTTGGTTTTTGTAAATTCTAATCTTTTAGTAACTGGGGTTAATGGTTTCGATGCTATTTAAGGATTCTTCACATTTTTTTCTGTTTTATCTGTACAGTAAGAACATTGGTGTAAAAATGTTTAAATCTGTTTAGAAATTTAAGAAATAAAACTATAAGGGTAGTTTGGAGTGTTTCAGTGTCTTAATTTTCTTTTGATGGTGGTTTGTCCTAGTTCCAATGTAAAATGTCCAAATATGTGCCTTCACTTTATACAACTTTCTCCTAGAAGTCTAACTTCAGCCTGGAATAGACATAATTTGTGGTCCCCTCTATAACAAGACTAACTTAATACTATACGATACTTTTTTGTTCTTCACTTTACAGTTGGAGATGAGCACCAAATGCAACCTTCTGTTGCAAACATACACCATGTAATCATTCATGGATGGATGGACTGAGTCAATTCATGTGGACTTGACAGCAGTGAAGTCAGGTCTTCTTAACTGTGTAATGTTCCTGAAAGTCCTGAGACTTCATTGCTCTTCCTGCAGGCTGATCTTGAAGACATTTCACCAGTGTCCTCACATGGCTCATGTAACAATGGCTTTCTTGCGAGATGAGAATGTGACAAGTACACTGTTAGATGCCTGAGCCTCTTCAGGATGGCAGCTGCAATCTGCTGCAAAGCAAATGGCAAATGTGTAACCTCTGTTGATTTCAATGGCAGCCTCATTCACTACTAACCTGTGACTTTTACAGCAAATCTGCTGTTGGCCTCAACAGTTTTTGTGATTTTCCTGATGCCTGAAATGTTTCTGCAGGTATGGAATTCATTTTTTGAGGCTCAGTATATGTTTCTTTCCATTTTATTTAAATGTTGCAAAAAGAGAATGACCTTTAGGATGTTTCAGGTTGTGACCCCAACCCTCCATCAGCAGGGCGACTTTCTTAATTTTGTAAAAGTACCCTGTAGGTTTTATGGTGATAATTCCGGTTAGAATGCACTAAGACCTTCTGAGGTGTAATTTGAAAGAAACCCTCACAGTCTAAGAAGCCCATCTCTATATATCTGTCAGAGAATAAGAGGGACTGAAACATGACTTGAGCAAGTTAGTTTTCCATATGTAATTGGCAACAGGTTATGGTTTTCTGTAAGGCAGGATTTTATGTGTGGGAGGTATTTTAGATGAGGAGCTTAAATCGTTGGCTGAGTGTTATACCGACATTCAGTCAGGTTTTTATTTTCTTTACTCCAGCTGGAGAAGACATCTATGCATTGATTGTTTCCACATTTTGTTGAGGATTTCATGCAATCTTATCTCTAATTTCAGATAAAGAAAGGAGGAAGGATTCTGCAGTGAACTTGTTTCCTCAGTTTTTCAGAGCAGGGGTTTTGCTGATGTTCTGATTTTGATGCACTCGGCTGTCTGTCTCTGTCTGTCATGGCAGCTTGTGGGGGCGTCTGTACCAGGCAGTTCATCACAGCTCTTTGTGCGGAGTTTCTGGCTGTGTTCTTGTTCATGGTTGTTGGTTTGGGTTCCACTTTAGTAGTATCTTCTAAAGTTGAGACAGAGCCCTTCACACACATTGCTTTGTGTTTTGGGTTCACCATCACCATCCTTGTCCACTCCTTCGGACACATCTGTGAGGCTTACCTCAACCCGGCTGTGACTCTGGCCATGGCGCTGACCCGAAAGATCACTATTGCCAAAGGCTTCCTCTACAGGGTGGTCCAATGCTTGGCTGCCTTCACTGGAACAGCAGCTCTGCTACTCTTTAGACCCAAGAACGTTTTTGGAGTAACCCAGGTCAGAACAAACCATTTATGAAATTCCATGCTTTAGTTTCCTGCATTTAAATCCTGTTCTTTTGCCAGATTTTGAGACTTCCACACCCTGTGTCCCTGTCCACAATTTTCTCTTTTTAACTTCTCTCTGTTTCTTCTTTTTGAATCTATATAATTATCTTTTGTTTGCTTAACAGCTAAAACATTGGCTATATCTCGAAACATTGTTTTTTCTTTTTACTTTTCAGTGTTCAATTACTCTTTATTTGTTCACTTGCAGATTGGCTTTGCTCTTGAGGTGCTTAACTTAAAGAAAGCATCTGGAAGGCACGATTTCAGGATGGTATTATTGCATTATTCCTCAGACAATGTTCCAAGTTGAAAAATGGAGTGGATTGATGCGAGTTATTCAGCTGATTTTCAGAGAAACATGTTTGTGTTCACTGTATTCACTGCAGGTAAGCACACTGCAGGCTCTCTTTATCGAAGCCATCATTTCCTTCCAGGTGGTCCTCAGGGCTCCACCTTCTCTGATCATCGGGCTATCGGTCACCACTGGACACCTCTTTGCTGTGAGAATATAGATATAGATATAAATATAGATATAAATGTATTGCTCAGGTCCCTGGCATATATTGCACAAAAAACGGTTGTAAACGGGAAAAGAAAAAGAAAGAGAACAGATGTAGCAGTAGATGTTGTAGATGCGTTCAGCCAAGAAACAGGTCACTGTCAATGTTGCCTCTGCCCAGACGCAAGGTGGATGCGTTGTACAGTCTTATGACAGAAGGCAAGAATGACCTCCTGCAGCGCTCCCTGTCGCACCGTGGATGAATCAGTCTATTGCTGAACATGCTCTTCATTTCTGCAAGCCTGTCATAGAGGGGATGGGAGATGTTGTCCATGATGGCCTCTAGTTTGGACACCATTCTCCTCTCAGCCACTACCTCCAAGGGGTCCAGGTCAGACCCAATGACAGAGCTTGTTCTCCTGATGAGCTTGTTCAACCTTTTAGAATCCACTGCTCTAATCCCAGGGCCCCAGCATACCACTGCGTAGAAAATGGC